AAGTTTTGTTTACACAGAAAAAGTTTAATACCTAAAACTTTTTAGTACACTTAAATAGTTATGATACACTAAGAACAGTTTTAAATTTATTACACTAGAATAGTTTATGATACACTAGAACATAGTTTATGATACACTAGAACATAGTTTATGATACACTAGAACAGTTTATGATACACTAGAACAGTTTATGATGCACCAAAACAGTTTATGATACACCAAAACAGTTTATGATACAGTAGACCATAGTTTATGGTGCGCTTGAACATAGTTTATTGTGCATTGTACTTGAATATTTTAATTCAGTTCATTAGAAATATTGTCTAGTAATGTAGATCTAAGTGACGGCCATTCAAAGGGTTAATGTACAATGCATGTGTTATCTTACAGATGATTGTGTAACATTGATTAATGTACAACTCATGTGTTGTCTTACAGATGGCTGCCTCGCATCACCGAGTTGACAGAGAACCTCAGCACCATCTTCTCACGGTTCATGGCACGTCTTGGGTGCGCAGGAGAAGTGATCCTTGACAAAGCAGAAGATGTGGATGATTTCAGTAAATACGGAATCGTAATTAAGGTGCGGTTTCGCGATAACGACCGTCTTCGAGAACTGACGGCTCATCACCAATCTGGTGGCGAACGTGCTGTTTCTACAGCACTCTATCTCCTTGCACTACAAAGCTTAACAACTGTTCCTTTTCGTTGTGTTGACGAGATTAACCAGGTACAGTATTAACTTTATTTACAGGTTTTTCCAGACATTACAAAGCTTATTTAGTAAGGCTTCAACTGTGCTCCTTGCAGTGCAAAATAAGACAGGTACATAACATTTATAACAGGAGGGCTCTGCTCATATGGCAGGTTAGGTTCCAGGCTACTGCTGTAAAGCAAAAATCTCCATAATGCTATTCACTTTTTTCACTTTTAACCCTTTAACTGTCCAAACATAGATCTACGTTTTCACTGCTAGCGCTCCAAATGTAGATCAACATCTTATTTTTCTAGCCTTCAGATTTGGCACAATTGGCCTGAGATGCCTGGTTAGTTTAAAATGAATAAAAGAATAAAGATTTTATTTCTTCGCAAAGGTTACAATGTGTAATTACAATTTTGATTTGTTTAGTACAAAGAAACCACTTTCATGCTGGGGCATTTCAGGCAGACTAATCCTAGTACATAATAACTACTTACGTACAGTGGAACCTCTGCTTTAAAATGCATCCACGTGCAAGTTTTTTCAGATACAAGCAGTCGTTTGGTCGATTTTTTGCTTTCAGACGCGAGTGAAATTGTCAGATGCGAGCGGGCCTCAAGGGAGGTTCCTTGACATTGGTGAGGGGCTCTTGCTCTTGATCTAGGGAATTGCATCTCAGTTGTTTGTTGGACTGTCATATTGAAACTTGGGCAATGTATGATGGAAAGGTGCTTCTTAACGTACACCAAAAATGAAAGAAATCGGACCATAAATGACAGAGTTCACTTCTCAGCCATTAGCCTCCTCTTAGAGGTATATTTTCGTATGGTTTTTGTGGTTGTATTCTCATTTTTTTCGTCTCATTGATAGAATGGAAGATACAGAAATAGATGTCATTTTGATTTGTTTCATGACGAAAAGTACCTCGAAATTGAGCTTGAAGTAGCAGAAATGTTTGATTCTTTGGCGATGTTCAAGAGTAAATAAATGACATCACCGTCCAATAACCTGTCCGATTGGCACTTCCCTCAACCTTCACATACTGGAAAGCTCTTCAACACGCTAGCAAAAGTGGGAGCAGACATCATGAAGTAGCAGTGGCAGACAGCATGGAGCAGCAGTGGCAGATATGAAGCAACAGTGGCAGACAAAAAATAAGCACCCGGCAGACATAAAGAAAAGCAGCAGGGCAGAACTTTAAGAAAGCGTGACAGAAAACCCTAAACGCCGTTGGTAAGACAACATGAACCCAGCAGGGCAGAAACATGAAGCAGCAGTGCCCGAAAACAAAAGCAGCAGTGGGGGACAACATGGCACCCTTTGGCAGAAAACAGAAGCCCCGGGGCCAGGCTAAAACATGAAGCACCCTTGCAGACAACAAAAACCAGCAGTGCAGAAAAACTTTAACCCACAGGGGCAGACCAAAAAACCCGCAGGGGCAGAAAACAGGGAAGCGCAGTGACAGAAAACTTTGAAAAAGGGTGGACAAAACATGAAGCAGCAGTGGCAGACCATGAACAGCAGGGGCCAAAACCCAGAAGCAGCAGGGCCCAAAAACCATAAAAGCACCAGGGGCAACAAAAAGAACCCGGGGGCAGTTGGGGAAAAAGGGGACAACATGCGGCAGAGTGACAACAACATGAAGCACCCGGGGTAGAAAAACCAGAAGCAAGGGGCCGCCCTTCATGAACGCAGGGGCAGACAAAAAAGAAACAGCAGTGGAAACAACTTTGGAAGCAGAAAGGGGCAGACAAATGAAGCACCCGTGGCAGACAAATAAAAGCAGGGGGCAGACCATGAAGCAGCGGGGCAGCAACATAAAGCAGCAGGGGCCCAAAAACCCCCCAAACCCCAAAAAAATAAAAGCAGCAGGGGAAACAACAGGGAAGCAGCAGGGGCGGGACAACAAAAGCAGTGGGAAGACCATGAAGCAGCAGGGGCAGAAAAAAGGGAACCCAGCATTGGCAAAAACCCCATGAAGCAGAGTGCGACCCATGAACAGCATGGCAGCCCAACATGAAGCGGGCAGTGGCAGGTACCAACATGAAGCAGAGTGCAGACTAAAAAACCCCAGCAGGGGAAAAGCCCACAAAAAAGGCACAGGGGCAGAAAAACTGAACCCGGGAAACAAAACAACCAGAAGCAGCAGGGGCCGAACAACTGAAGCAGCGGACAGACTTCAAAAAGCCCCCAGTGCAGAAAACATAAAGCAGCAGGGGCAGACAACATGAACAGCAGGGCAGAAAACATGAAGAAAAGCAGTCAGAAACATGAAGCATGAGACAGACAACTGAAGCGGCAGGGGGCAGAAACAATAAAGCGGGCGGGGAAGACAACAGGAAGCAGATTTGAAGACTTCCCCTGAAGCAGCAGGGGCAGACAAATGAAGCAGAAAGGGCAGAAAACAAAAGCGAAAGGAGACAACTTTGAAGCACCAGTGCCCAGAATCATGAAGCACAGTGACAAAACCATAAAGCAGAGGGGCAGCCCAACTTAACACCCGGGGCAGCCCAACATAAAGCGCATAAACAGACATAGGAAGCGGGCGGGGACAGAAAACATAAACCCCGCAGGACAGACACATAAAAGCGGGCAGTGACAGAAAACATGAAGCCGTTAAGCCCATATGAAAGCAGAAGGGGCAGACAACATAAGCAGCAGGGGCCCCGAAAACATGAAGCAGCAGTGCAGCCCCATAAAAATGAAAACCAGGCGGTGACAGGACATCATGAGCAGCAGGGGCAGCCCCAAAAAAGGAAGCACCTGGCAGACAACATGAAGCAGCATTGCAGACAAAATAAAGCAGCATACAGCCCATCCTGAAGGCAGAAAAAATAAACGGGCATAAAAATGAAGCAGCAGGGGAAGAAAACCTTTGAAGCAGCAGTAAACAGCAAAAGAAGCAGAGGGGACGACATTTAAGCAGCAGTGTAACAACATGAAGCAGCAGGGGCAAAAACCTGAACAGAAATGGCAGCCCAATGAAGCACCAGGGGCAAACAAAAAGCAGCAGTGGAAAGACATCATGAAGCAGCAGTGCCGAAAAACTTTAAGCAAGCAGGGGCAGAAAACATGAACCCGCAGGGGAAGAAAACCATAAAAGCAGCAGGGGCCGACAACATGAAGAAACAGTGAAGAACATAAGCAGCAGGGGCAGACAAAATGAAGCCAGGGGCAAAACATATGAAGCCGCAGGGGCAGAAAACCTGAAGCAGCAGGGGCAGAAAACATAAAGCACAGGGCAGAAAACATGAAGCAGCAGTGCAACACATGAAGAAAGCATTTGGCAGACAAAAAGAAGCGGGAAGTGACAGACAAAAAAAGCAGCAGTGGAAAGACAACATGAAGCAGCATTTGGCAGCCATGAACCCGCAGTGGCAGACCCATAAAGCACAGTGACAGAAAACATGAAGCGAGGGCCAGAAAACATGAAAGCAAAAAAAAAAAAAATCAAAAACAGGAAAAAGACAACTTTAAACCCGGCAGTGGCAACCTTAAAGCAGCAGTGGCGGGAAAACCCATGAAGCAGCAGGGGCAGCCCAACATAAAAGCAGCAGGGGCAGAAAACCCAAGAAGCACTTGACGGGAAAACATGAAGCAGCAGGGGCGACAAAAAGAAGCCCCCTTGGAAGACAACAGAACGGGCAGTGCGGGCCCAAAATGAAGCGGGCGTGACAGACAATAAAAGCACAGGGGTAGGAAAACAGTGAAGAAAACATGGCAGCCCAAAACATAAAGGGCACATTTGGCGGGACAAAAAGAAGCACCCAGGGCAAAAACCCTAAAGGCAGCAGGGGCAGACAAAAAGAAGCAGCAGGGGCAACAACATAAGGGCACCCGTGGAAAACCCTGAAGAAGCAGGGGACAAACAAATGAAGAAAGCGGGGCAGACAACATGAACCCGAAAGTGACAGAAAACATGAACCCGCAGGGGCAGAAAAAACAAAAGCAGCTTGGGGCAGACCCAAAAAGAAGCGGGGTGACAAATTTGAAGCACCCAGTGCAGGAAAAACATGAAGCAGCGGGCGGGACTTCATGAAGCGGGCAGGGGCCGGGACAACATTAAGCAGCAGTGCCCAGACCATGAAGCAGCATAAACAGAAAACCATGAAGGGCCACCCTTCGGGATTTAAAAGGAGTCCCAACTTTGGGTAAGCCTCGGGTTTGACATAAAACATGGGGCCAGCAGTGACAGAAAACAAAAAGGCAGCAGGGGCAGACCCAGGGAAAGCAGAAAGGGGCGGGACTTCATGAAGACCCGGGGCAGCAACATGAAGCAGCATTGGCAGATTCATGAAGCAGCAGGGGCCGAAAAAAAAGAAGCCCCCGTGAAGCCCATGAAGAAAGCAGGGGACAAAAACCCATGAACAGCAGGGGCAGCCCAAAAGAGCATGGCCGACAACATGAAGCAGCAGAAAAAGGGACAACTTTAAAGCACCCAGGGGACAGACAACATGAAGCAGAGGGCAGACCATGAAGCAGCAGGGGCCAGAAAAAAACAAGGGGAAACCGGGCCCCGGGGGGAACAAAAAAGAACCCAGCAGTGCCGACAACATGAAGCACCCAGGGGCAACAACTTTAAGCAGCAGGGGAGACTTCATAAAAGAGCAGGGGCCAAAACCAAGAACCCGCGGCAGACCATAAAGCAGCAGGGGCAGAAAACATAAAGGGCCGGCAGTGGCAGAAAACATAAAAGCAGAAATTTGGAACAACATGAACAGCAGTGACAACAACGGGAAACAGCGTGGCAAAAAAATAAAGCACATGGCAGACCCTGAAGCAGAAATGGCAGATTTTCATAAAGCAGCGGGGCAGTTTTTCCAAAAAAGCGTGGAAAACTTCATGAAGCACAGTGGCAGACTTCTTTAAAGCAGAAAGTGGCAAAAAACATAAAAGCACCCAGGGCAAAACAACATGAACAGCAGGGGCAAAAACTTTGAACGGGCGTGGCAGCATAAAGAAGCAGAGGGCAGAAAACATGAAGCAGCGGGGGCAGACTTCATGAAGCACAGTGGAAACCCAAAAATGAA